TGTGTGTGTGTGTGTGTGTGTGTGTGTGTCTGTGTGTGTGTGTGTCTGTGTGTGTGTGTGTCTGTGTGTGTGTGTGTCCATGCACTACAGCACACAAGTATTCACAGGACAATTTATGGAGGTCTGTGCTCTCCATCCATAGCATGGGTTCTCAGAATTAAAATCACAAAATCAGATCATTATGGCTGAGAAGAGCCATCTTACTGGCTCCAGACTTCTTGTTTTGTTTGTTTGTTTGAAGTAGGGTTTCTCTGTGTACTCGCTCTGTAGACCAGACTGGTTTTGAACTCAGAGATCCACCTGCCTCTGCCTCCTGAGTGCTGGGGTTAAAGGCGGGAGCCACCACCACCTGGCTTTCAGGCCTCTTTAGAGAGAGAATCTCAGTTAAGTTGCCCAGTCTGACCTTAAACTTATTTTCCCAGCCTCCTCAGAAGCAGTAGTGACCAGCCTGCACCAAGCCTGGTTTTGAAACACCTTTTGTCAAGTGCTGTGCACACACAGTAAGTTTCCCAGAACAAACAGATTCCAAAAGCATGTCTGGGGTGGGGAGATGGCTAACAGGGGAAAAGTACTTACTGTGCAACCTTCAGTTTGAATTCCAGCAGCCATGCCAAAAGCTTGATGTGGCCTCGTACACACATATATCCCACTGCTGTGTGGGCAGGTACAGGAGTGTTGGCAGGATGTGCAAGCTAAGTCTAGCTCCAAGTTAAGTGAAAGCCCCTGTCTCAAGGAAATAAGGTCTTGGAGAGTAATAGAGCAGGACACCTGACATCCTCCTTAGGTATGTCCCTTTTTATATTTCCCCCCACCCACACACACACACACACACACACACACACACACACACACACACACGTATACCTGCATGTACAAGTATAGATACACAAACACACACACACACACACACACACACACACACACACTAAAGCCCATCTTTTGCACCTGCTGTGTTAAGACACACCTCACTTTCTGGATAAATAACTTCCACTGTGTAGAATTCCTGCCTCACAATGACCTGACATTTCTCTTCTGTCTTGTAAGCTGCTCAACTGTAACTGAGCTCTACCTTGTAGAATTGCCCCTGGGTTCTCACGCATCTCTGGTCTTCTGATAGCCACAGCTTAGAACATGCTCTGTATGCATCTATCACTACTGTGAGAACAAGGATGAACGTTATGTTTGCATATATAAACCAGTAAATGTAGCTGGCTATGGTGGCCCACACCTGTAGCCCCAAACATTCATTCCCAGAAATCCAAACTAAAAGGCAGGTGTGTTGCATGCCTGTAAGCCCAGCATTCAGGAAGTCCTGGAAGGATCTGAATCTCAAAGACAGTGTTGGCTACATATTGAGCTGGAGGATAGCCTGGTCTATATAGGGCCCTGCCTCAAAACAAGCAAAAGTAAAACCAACCACCAGAAGTTCTGATAACAGTATTTCCTCACAAAGCTCTTGAGATATGGCTTCTTAGTGCCAGGCTCCTTCATAGGCCTCACCAACTCCGTGGGACAAACCAAGAGTTCCTTATTTTGGTAGCATATTTGTTTTCCTTCTGCAATCCCTTAGGTCAGTCATCCCACAGATAATTGCCAGGCTGGTTCCCTCACTTCTCTTAAGTCTCTTTTCACATGGTACCTTATCAGAGAGGGCTTTCTTAACTACCCATCTGATGAAAAATGGCAGCTTCCTCCTGCCCTTGCTCGGAGTTCCTGTTTTCTTTCAGTCTGCTTTACTCTTTTGCTTTTTGTTGTTTTATTTTGTTTTGAGACATACTTTCTCTATGTAGCCCTGGCTGTCCTTGAACTCCATATAGATAGACCAGCTTGGCCTTCAACTCACAAATGCCTGCCTGCCCCTACCTCCCATGTACTGTCATCCCTGACCCAAGCTATTCTTGATTAGGGCAGGATGCTGCACACCTTTACTACCAGCTTGGAGGCAGGGGTGGGTGGATTCGGGTTTGGGTTTTTTGTTACTCCAATATTTTTGTTTTAGCTTGAGTTGGTTTCTCTGTGTAGCTTTGGAGCCTGTTCTGGAACTCACTCTGTAGACCAGGCTGGCCTCAAACCCAGAGATCTGCTTGCCCTGCCTCCCCAGTGCAAAAATTAAAGGTGTGCATCACCATGGCCTGGCTGACTCCAATACTTTTAAAAGAAAAACAGACACTATTGTAAGGTTTTTATTTATTGTTATTCATGTATATGTGTATGCCATGTGTCCTGTGAGGCCAGAAGAGGGTGATAGATACCCTGGAGTTGGAGTTACAGGAGGTTTCCAAACTGCTTGACATCAGTTCTGGGAACACAACTTAATGGAACTTGGGTCCTCAAGGCAAGCAGGACTCAGCAGTTGGTTTTTTGTTTTGTTTTGTTTGTTTGTTTGTTTGGGTGTTTTTTTGAGACAGGGTTTCTCTGTGTAGCAGCTCTTGCTGTCCTGGAACTCAGTCTGTAGACCAGGCTGGCTTCCAACTCACAGAGATCTATCTGCCTCTGCCTTTCAAGTGCTGGGATTAAAGGTGTGCACCACCACCACCCAGTCAGTTTTTAAATTCTAAAATTCCCATAGACGTTAACAAAGAATCAAACACCTTTCTGTATGGGACAAGAAATAGACTTCATTCTCAAGGACAATGGCGGGTAGACAGCAGTGGGTAGGACAGATATTTCAGCACGTTTAGGTGGTATGGCCTTAGAGGAAAGACTACATTTCAGGCACAAAGAACTGGGGACGCAGCTGTGGTAGAGTGCTGTCTACCATGTGCCGGGCCTTGGGTTCTACCCCAATATCACTGAAAGAAAACAAAACCACTGGTGGGTGGTGGCACATGCCTAGAATCCCAGCACCCCAGAGGCAGCAGAAGCAGGTGGATCTCTGAATTTGAGGCCAGCCTGGTCTACATAGAGGTCTTTTCTCAAAACAAAACAAAACAAAGCAAACAAACAATGTGAATGAACATTTTGCCTGCATGTAGGTAAATGGACCACATGCACACACCAGATCCCCTGGACTTAGAACTACAGTTACAGTGTGGCTCTGGGACTCAAACCTAGGCCTCTGAAAAAGTCAGCAAGTGCTCTTTTTTCTATTATTATTATTATTATTATTATTGTTTTATTATTTGAAGACAGGGTTTCTGTAGTCCTGGCTGTCCTGGAATTTGATCTGTAGACCAGGCTGACCGCAAACTCTTGAGATCTGCCTGCCTCTGCCTCCTAATGGCTGATCCATCTACCCACAACTGAGGTGTTTTCTTTCTTTTTCTTTTTTGGTTTGTTTGTTTGTTGATTTTTCAGACAGGGTTTCTTTGTGTAACCCTGGCTGTCCTGGAACTCCAACTAAGATTTTTTAAAGGGTTTATTTTATTTTTATTTATTTATTTATTTTTCTTTTTGAGACATGGTCTTTCCACATTGCCCTGGTTGTCCTTGAACTCAGTATATAGATTAGAGATCTCCTTCAGGAGTGCTGGGATTAAGGATTTGATGATGTACCACCATACCTGGAAATTTTTTCTTTATTTGTTTGGTTTTGGTTTTTTTCACTGTGTAGACTAGGATGTCCTGAAACTGAAACTCACTCTGTAGACCAGACTGGCTTTGAAATCAGAGATCTGTATGTATCTGTATGATGGGATTAAAGGGGTATGCGGCCACCACCCAGCTATTTTATTCTCGTGGTGTGTGTGTGTGTGTGTGTGTGTGTGTGTGTGTGTGTGTGTGTGTGTGTGTCTACAGTCCCCTTAGAGAGATTCTCATGTAGGCAAGAGTGGCCTTGGAGTCTTAATCTTCCAGCTTCT